CAGAAAGCGTCGCACTGCAGGCCCGTGTTTTGAAGCTTTCTTTTTCTCCATACTATAGGCTAGGACGTTGCGAGAGTCTTGCAGCTATTTGTTTCTAAGCATTGTGTTTGATTTCCTTAACGATAAGCCAAATTGCCTGATAATCACAAAAAAAAATATATGCTGAACATCGCTTTTTTCGCTCGAAAAACACGGGCCTGTATTCCGACGCACTCTCCAGAAAGCGTCGCTCTATATATATATATATATATATGTATCATATCTATAAAACATGCATAATGTTTAATGTTTTTCTTTAAGAGGTCTCCGCCAGCCAGCTGGCCGAAGCTATCGCGGCAGCCGAACTGCAGCAGCCCGAGGTTGAACGCCTCGGAGCTCCTCGGCCGGCAGTTTGTGAAGTCATTGGGCTTGTAGGGTTCTGGGGATCTAGGGATCTAGGTTTTAGGGTTCTAGGGTTTAGGACTCTAGGGATCTAGGGATATAGGGTTCTAGGGTTTAGGGTTCTATAGATCCCTATAGGGATCTAGGTTTTAGGTTCTAGGGTTTAGGACTCTACGGATCTAGGTTTTAGGTTCCAGGGTTTAGGGTTCTAGGGATCTAGGGATCTGGGTTTTAGGGCAAAGGACTTGGGAGATCTGGGATTTGGGGTCTAGGGGGCGTGGTTGTAGGGATATAGCAAAGGGCATGGCCCCGGTTGAAGAGGGATCTCGGGTTTTGAGCACTAAGAGCCTGGCAAGGGCTATGGGGATAAAGGTTTAGGGTTAAGGGTTCGTGGATGTACTTTGTAGGCATTAAAGGGTTCTGGGGTTTGAAGTTCAGGGAAAGCATCGTCCAGACCCTTGCCAACACTTGTGGACTTTTGACCTAAGCCGCATCCATGCGTCAACAATGACATGGATGACCCCCTGACCATCGCTTTGTGGTGTGGGTAATGCATCCTCCTCGCAACAAGTGGTGGGCCCAGGAACGACTGCGCAGCAGTGGTGGCAGCAAGGAGGCCAATCCAAAAAAGGTTTAGTCGCAGTGTTATGGTCTTATGTGCGCACATGTACATGCGATTGTGTGTATGTTGCCGTTTTCAGCATGTATCAGCATGCCAGGTGCACTTGTGGTTATGTGGGTTTCTGCGCTTGTCATCCTCATCATCCTATTGCATGGATCAAAATATGTGAGTTGTACATGGTCCATTGGGCTGGGGGCCGTCTTTGTGTATTGCACTCCCAATCTAAGCCCATTATAGGTGGGTA